AAATATTTTTATTAGTTATTGATGGACCTTTATTTATTTATTTGTTTGTATGTGGTGCTGAGAATCGAACCCAGGGCCTCATACATGCTAGGCAAGCGCTCTACCACTGAACCTCAGCACCAGCCCCATCACTTGTATTTTTTGAAAAGACAGAACAAGTAGTATAAAGTATAAAGATTATGTATCTGAATACATTATATTATGATAAGTATAATACAGTATAAGTATAAATATTATGAAAAAACTTTTGTATGGAAGTATTAAGTGGCTCACCACATTTCCAATTAATAATAAAACAACCAGTTTAGTGTAACCAAGTTTTACTCAAATACCTGGCAGCTATGATCAGTATCCAAACCATCCCAGAGACTCATAAACTGAGCTTTCATCATGGCTGTAGCTTCATGATCAGAGCTTGAACGATTCCGTAGAAAAGAGTCTTTAAAAAAAAAAAAAAAAAAAAAAGGTCCTTAACTTTAGAAATTAATTATTTACCCTTTATATAATTTATGCATTGGAAGAATTACAACATTCAAAAAATACATAGGCCTGAGGAATTTTTCAGAAGTAATGAAAGCCATGAATTCTCAGATCAAAACGCATTACTGTAGGTTTACTAGGCTTAGCAAATAGAACACCTAAACAACTAGAGAAAAAAGATACAATCTTTAGATATCTTAGGCAATAAGCAGATTTCTCAAAAGCAACAAGAAAGTCTGAAAAACAATGGAAACTGAAACTTCAAAATGCTGAGGGAAAATAATTCTGTATCATTTAAGAGATAAGGCAGAAAGAATTAACACTCTTTCATCTAAAAACAGAAAGAATTCACTCCTTACAACCTTTGCTGAAGGAATTTAAGACTTTAGTAAGAAAATTAAATCCAGAAAAGGCAAGATCTAAGAAGCACTGGTGAATAAAAAACTGGCAAATGTGAGTAGGTGAAAAAGCAATGAAAATAACAGTAATAGGTAAGATGTAAAAAAGGAAAAATGTTGGAAAACATGTAAAAGTTAGGGGGAATTATCAATGTGTAGAAGTTCTAAGGTCACTATATAGTTTGCAAGGAGGGCAGAGACGATGATTAGGCTTTAGACATTTAAGAAAAGTAGGTATAGCTGGGTACAATGACACACACCAATAATCCTAGCAATTCAGGAGTCTAAGCCAGGAAGATCCAGTTCAAAGCCAATCTCTGCAACTTAGCAAGGACCTAAGCCCTGTTTCAAAATCAAAAATAAAAAGAGCTGAGGTTAAGCACTCTGGGTTCAATCCCCATACCAAAGAAAAAGACAAGTACGTATGTTAAATGTTTCACTAGAAGAAGAATAAAGAACTTCTAAATCTGTAGCAAAAGAAAAGTTTTGTTTATGTATTTGCCTTGGGAATTTTTTCATTGTTTTATTCTTTCAATATTTGGGGTTCTGGTATGCATCTTGAAAAAAGAGAGTATATAGCTGGATTTAAAAATAATTTCAATCTATTTCTTTAATTGGGAAGTGTAGTTAATTTGCTATTTTTATGACAGCTAATGTATTCAGATTTATTTCTACTATGCAATTTAGTGCTTTTTATTTAGCAATCTGGTGGATGGTCTCTTTTATAAGTTTGCTGTCTAAATGGAATTGGATTTCTATCTCATACCATATAATAAAAAAAAAAATTTAAGAATATTTGTGGGGATAGTGTAAAGTATTGTAAACCAGACATAAAAAGCATAAATCACAGAGGAAAAATACTTATAAACGTGACTACTTTCAAACTTAAATCACTGCAGCCATTTAAATCATTGTAAAAGAAACTACTATAAACAAATTGAAGTAATTATAATAAACATCAACAAGAATTAACCAGAAAAATATAAATTCCCCAAAGAAAAACTGGAAATTACAAGCAAAAAACCCTAACAGCGAATCAACATATTAACACATCCAAATTTACTAGTGATTAGGAAAACATGAATTAAAATAATGGTGTGATAATTCTTGGTTTTCAAATCGGCAAAAATTAATGGTAATGTCTGAAAGAATAAATCTTAGTATGCTGGGAAACAAATTCACTGTTATGAGTGTCTAGGTATAATCATTTTGAAGAACTTGTAATCCTAGTGAAGTTGAAGAAAGTTCAACTTCCAGGAACCTATCCTAGATAAACATATATGCATAATAAAACATGTACATATATCTCCACTRAATACTGTTAAGAGAGAAAAGCCTATCAAGCAAGGGTATGAAAAGGCTATGATTCATTCCAAAACACAGATATGAGACACAGAATATTCAGCTGCTAGTTATGCCTTTTGTTTTATTAGCAGAGCCTAACAATTGTTAAAAATTAAATCTGGTTTTCTAAATATTACCTTTAAAATGACTTTTCAAAAGGCTCACATAGAAAACAACATACCTATTTCATCTATAAAGATGATGGAAGGCTGTAGCTTTATGGCAAGGGAGAAAACAGCAGCAGCCAATTTTTGAGATTCTCCATACCACTTATCAGTCAATGTTGAAGGTTGAAGGTTAATAAACCGACAGCCTGCTTCTTTAGCTGTAGCCTTGGCAATTAATGTTTTACCACAGCCTGGAGGTCCGTAGAGAAGAACACCTGAAAAATTAACATTATTTTATTATTATCTTCAAGATAATGAAATATTTGCTTTCTTTGGAGTAAAGTATAATAGATATGAAGATATACAAATTTTTTTTTAATATTTTTCAGTTGTAGTTGGACACAATACCTTTATATTTATTTATTTTTATGTGGTGCTGAGGATCAAGCCCAGGGCATCGAACATGGTAGGCGAGTGCTCTACCGCTAAGCCAAAACCCCAGCCCCATGGAGATATACAAATTTTCTTAATGTTGGACAATAAAAATAAAATTCAAACTGAGGAAAATAATAAATACTTCGCATAAAATATTTATATAAAACACATGTCAAAAACTGAATTTATTTTTGGTTGCCATGCAAGGGACCAAAGCCAGGTTCTTGAGCAAGCTAGGCAAGAGTTCTATCATTGAGCTATATTCCCAGCCCACTTTTCAATTTTTTTTTTTTAAATAAAAAACTTGAGCTTGTTTCCATAAGCCTTATATATTTTTTTACATCAGGCATCGCAAAATAATGGCCAAACTTTTCCTAAAGAGTAGACATATTTTTCTATTGATCACAATTCTTTAAGATTCATGTTACAACATCAAACTAACCCAAGTTTTGTTTGTTTTTGGTACTGGGGATTGAACTCAGGGGGCACTCAACCACTGAGCCACAGGATCTCCCTGAGTCACTTAGTGCTTCCCCATTTCTGAAGCTGACTTTGAATTTGTGATCCTTCTACCTCATATCCTCCCAAGTCRCTAGAATTACAGTGTGCCACTGCGCTTGGCCATCAACTAGCCCAAGTTTTAAACATTTCTAAAGCTGATTTTGAAATTTAACTCCATAAACTTTACCAGGACAAGTTAATATTTTCAAGCAGAATTTTCGATTTTTAATTCAAGTCCATTTATAGCTGCTTAAAATTTACTTAAGTCAATTATAATCTGATCCTTCAACTGACATTTTTCTTTTGGATAGCCATGTGAAACAATAAAGAATAGTCATCTAATGACATTTCATTTAAAACTGAAAACACATGGATGATTGCTGGTGTTGTGGAATTATTATATCTCATTTTTTGATCATATAATAATGTGGGCTGTAATGTGTGAAATATGATATGTCAAGAGCTTTGTAATGTTGTGAACAACCAATAAAAAAAAATAATGTGGGCTGCACATTTACTAGCAAATTCATATGTAAATATTAATTATATAAGAATTTTTAGAACCATTCATATGAAAGCCTCTGTATTTTGTACACTTTACAGTTACACCAGTGTAAACATATGTACTACTTTTACAATGTCATATTTGTTTCAAAGTATTCGTTGATCGTTTCATGTTTTTCTCCTAGTAGTTTGGACAGAAGATTAATACTTTCCAATTATTTCTCTTTGTAAATCAAAATTAGTGTTACTAAGTAAGTAGTTGCTAGTGTCTGAAAATTAAACTTGAAATGAAGGCTTTTAAATCTCATAATCTTCTGGCAGATAGAGTTATGATAAATAAGGTATACATAAGGAGATATCAATATTGTACTTCTTAACCTGGGTGATAGTTACATGTTACCTTTATAATTATTCACTCAAATATTTTATCTATGTATGTTATGTTTCATTTTAAGATTCAACTGACATATTATCAGTGAGTTTAGCAGTTTAGTGGTCTAAACAGTGTTAGTATGTATTAAGAGTGGTAAATGAGTAGTAGTCCATAAGTTAACATGAAGCATTTTGCTTTAATTCTTAGTTTCACAATCTTTTAACTAGTTTCTTGAGCTTAATTTGGCACTTACATAACCAATTTAAACAAAACAAACATATGTTTATCTTGTGTTTTGTAAAAGCCTAAAAATTCATACTTCTTTTTAAGATGGATRTTTTTTGTGAGGGTTTTACTTGTTAAGTGCTACAGGCAAATAAAAGATTTAGGATAAGAAAGAAAAAACTAAGCTGACATACAGCACTCGCTGTGGCTTAGGGGGCTGAGGCAGGAGGATGCTGAGTTCAGAGCTTCAGCAACTTAGTGAGGTCCTGGCAACTCAGCAAGACCTTGTCTCTAAATAAAATATAAAAAAAGGRCTGGAGATGTGGCTTAGTAGTGTTCAATCCCAGTATCCCTCTCACTCAAAAAAAGAAAGACAAGACTAATTGATACATACATATTCCAATTTAAAATAATCCTCAYTGGTGACAAATACACTATCTTATTAGTGTATTTGAAAAGCGRCCAACTTTCCTTCCCGAAAGTGATTCTGCATTCTTTATTTGAATTGCCTATAATAAGACTGTATGCATAAACAAAACTAAAAGGATCATACTTACAGATGCAATTATAAACATTCTCAATGCTTAAGTTTCAAGGTTTCAAAGTGGTGACTAACTACAAATGAGGAAATAATTTATAAAAATTTTAGAAACTAAAGAATGATTGAGGGGRGCTGGGGTTGTGGCTCAACAGTAAAGCACTCGCCTTGCACATGTGAGACCCTGGGTTCAATCCTCAGTACCACATACAATAAATAAGTGAAATAAAGGTACTGTGTCCAACTACAACTAAAAAATAAATATTAAAAAAAAAATGACTGAGGCTGGGGTTGATGGCAGACACCTATAATCCTTGTGGCTCAGGAGACTGAGGCAGGAGGATCTGAATTCAAAATCACCTTCAGCAACTTAGCAAGGCCCTAAGCAACTCAGCAAGAACCTGTCTCTAAATACAATAAAAAGCCCTGGGATGTGGCTCAGTGGTTAAGTGCCCCTGGGCTCAATCCCAGGTACCAAAATAAGTAAACAGAATAAAAAATTATTTTAAAATTATTACTTATACAACAGTTCACTGGATCGCAGCATTGTGTTTGGAGAATCTGATTTCATCAAAAACAAACAAACAAAAAAACCAGTTCTCTAAGGCCTAAAAGTTATGTCTTCTAGACTTTTAATGCTTTCAGCAAATATATATTCTTTACCATACCTTTTGGAGGCTGCAGAAGCCTAGAATTTTCAAACAAATGCTTCTTTTTGATAGGTAAGATGACTGTATCTTTCAGATCTGTAATRACATCATCTAAACCTGCTATATCACTCCAAGTAACCTGGAAAAAGTTAAAGTCAATATAAATTTTACAACTAATGTATACTCACAAAGCAAAAAATCCACCCCCAATTGTAAACCATTACATAATCTGGTAATTACAGAAATAATAATAAAAAGTTAAAACTGTATATTAATATGAGTAAACACTTTGCAGCAGTAATGATATTAATAAGCTCAGTGACACTTGAAAAAGGAATTTAGAAGTCAATTTCTTTCTATTTAAAAAAAGTTAAATAAAGCATTAGGGCTCTGGATGTAGCTCAGTGGTAGAGCACTTCCCTCTTATGGGAGAGGCCTTGGGTTCAATCGCCAGTGGGGTTAAGAATTTAACTGAATTCATTCCATTTGTGAGTAGAAAATACACTTCCACAAGAACACTGAGAAACAGTTCAACATAATTAGCACCAGCTGATAAGGAAGAGTTTTGCCAGGAATGTACCTATTTTACATAAGATATTATCAACACAATAGGAATTTTAGAGATAAGGTGTATACTAATCAAACTGAACTTCTGATTTTTATTCATCAAAAGTAAAAACTGTCAAACTTATGAAGTGCTGGGAGCAGTTCTGTATGCCTGTAATCCATCTCAGCAACTCAAGAGTCTGAGATAGAAAGAGTGCAAATTTAAGGCCAGCAGGAGCAACTTAGTGAGGGCTTAAGCAAYTCAGTAAGACTTTATCTCAAAATAAAAAATAAAAAGGGTTGGGAATATAGCTCAGGATAAAGCACCTCAGGGCTAAATTCTAAGTAACAAAAAGAAAAATAAATGCTATGGTTTGGATATGAGATTTCCCCAAAAAATTCCTGTGTTAATTTAGGAATATTTAGAAGTGCAATACTTAGATTAATGAGAACTGTAAACTAATCAATCCAACCTAATTTGAATGAATTAACCAGGTAGTAACTAGGCAAGTGGAACATGGCTGGAAGAGTGGGTCACTGGGAAAATGCCCWGTGAAGGTCCACACTCCCTGCAACCCCTTCCCCTTTCTCTCTCTCTCTGCTTTGAGGACACTAAGAAGTGAGCAGCTTTTCTCTACCACACCCTTAGGCCATGATGCTCTGCTTCACAYTGGACCCAGAACATCTGGCAGACCATCAAAAGAACCTCTGAAACTATAAGCTAAAATACGAGTTTATTCACTTCCCCCAAGTTGTTCTTGTCAGGTATTTTGGTCACCAAAACAAAAAGCTGACTAACACAACATATTTTCAAATAGACATGGAAAACCTTCTGAATCAAAATGTTTCTTTTAAATAAAGCTAAAAGGGACTAAAAAAAAAAACAAAAGCTATATCTATATAGACATTTATATATCTGTTTATAATTTAATATTAATGTGTGTGTATATATATATATGCATGTATGTGTGTGTGTGTGTGTGTGTGTGTGTGTGTGTGTGTGTGTATCCATCCCATAAGCTGGGCCCATATCTATAATGCCAGCAGCTCAGAAAGCTGATGCAGGAGGATGCAAGTTAAAGGCCAGTCTGGACAACTTATTGAAACACTGTCTCAAAATAAACTTTAAGGAAGAGTCTTGGGAGTGTAGCTTTAGTGGTAGAATGCTTGCCTATAGTGCACAAGGCCCTTGATTCAATCCCCAGTGCTGCTCGTACCTGCCCCTCCAAGGGGAAAAAAAAAAAACAGAAAGAGAAAAAGAAATCAACCTAGTTCTAAGCTAGCACAGTAAAAGGGTCATTCAGAAGCACTGCTTTACTTTTTTTTTATAACTTAGGGGAAAAAGTGGGGTGGTGTTTTAGTCAGCTTTTTTTCGCTGCTCTGACTAAAAAGACCCGACCAGAACAACTGTAGGGGAGGAAAGGTTTATTTAAGGGCTCACGGTTTCAGAGATCTTAGTCCACAGAAGGCAGGCTCCATTCCTCTGGGCTCTAGGTGAGGCAGGACATCATGATGGTAGAGTGTGAGAGAGGGAAACAGCTCACATTATGATCAGAAAGCAAAGAGGGGGCAGTGGGAAAAGATAGAGAGACACTATCTCAAAATTAAAAGATAAAATATTTTTTAATCTCCAGATACAAAATATATACCAAATAGCCATGCCCCCAATTAACCATTTCCTCCAGCCACACCCCACGTGCCTCCAGTTACCACTCAGTTAATCCCATCAGGGATTAATTCACTGATTAGGTTGAGACTCTCACAACCCAATGATTTTTTCTCTGAACCTTCTTGCATTGTCTCACATGAGGTTTTGGCAGACAATTCAAATCCAAACCATAACCGGTGGGGATGTAAAACAGTAGCCAAATCTGAAGAAAATATTCATAATAGCTGGGAAAACATACTATCCCTTATTGTAGACTAACTCACACATAGATACTTTTAGGGCCCTAAAAGATGTCATTATAAAGTCATAAATCAAATTAAAGTAGAGGCTTAAATCTAGGGATGTGTACATATGTCTCTCTATACACAAATATTAAAAGGTATTGCACATTTTTATTTTCTAGATTTAGAGATGGGTCTACCATATTTTACTCAATTTGTACCAATAACATTAATGTATTAGATAAATATATTCTAGCATATTTATATCTGTTGCTAATCAAGTATTCACATAGCATCTTGGAGTTTATAAACTAAATTAATCTAATCCTCAAAAAAATGTTTATGAAGTATATAGATAGACAGGTATTATGCTATTATCCCTGGGCTATAGACATCAGAACTGAAACTTGAGAAAACCATTTGCCAAGGTCACAAATAGAAAAACTGGGATTCAGAATCCTGTGTTGCTTACCATAACATACCATAAAAATTTAGATTTTAACTGGATACAGTGGCACATGATTATAATCCCAGAGGCTCAGGAGTCTGAGACAGAAGTTCAAAGCCAGCCTCAGCAATATAGCATGGCCCTAAGCAACTCGGTGAGACCCTGTCTCTAATTTTAGAGACCCTGTCTCTAAAATATAAAAAGGCTGGGGATGTGGAGAAACCAGTGGTGAAGCACCCTTGGGTTCAATCCCTGGTACCAAAAAAAAAAAAAAAAAAGTCTAGATTTAAACTACACAAATCCAAACACCCACATGAGGAAAGAAGTTTTATAAAACCATGAAAAATACATAAAATTACAAGTTTTCCTAGGCAAATGTGTTCAAAATGTGTTCAGAAAAGAGTAACATAGCAGGCCTAGCATTTGGGAACTTGAGAGTTCCCACAATTCCTTGACAACAGCTCACTGTTCCTAAACAGTGTGTGCCAATGATGTGGTTTATGGTTAATATCACTTTTCCTTCTGGGAGTCTAGAATTTCAAAACACGTAAGGAAGATGAGGACTACATGAATAGCCCCCAATTAAAAACACTGGACTGTGTCTCTATTAAGCTTCCTAGAAGACAATACTGCACATGTGTTGTCACAACTTGTTGATGAAAGAATTAAACATGTCCTTATGACTTCAAGTGGAGGGAATTCTAGGAAGACTGTGCCTTTCTCCAGACTTTACTCCATTCCCTTTTCCCTTTGCTGATGCTGCCTTGTACCCAGAATAAATCATATCTGTGAATACAATTACGTTCTAAGTCCTGTGATTCCTCCTAGAGAATCATTGAACCTGCTCATAATCTTCCACTCCTTTAATATAGAACACTAGCCAAAATAARTAAATCATAATAAGATTAAGGATACATACATGCATGTTAAGAGGATCTACCAGATGAGCAGCAATACTCATTTCATATTCTGAAAGCTTCACATTTTTCACACCAATTTGCTTCATAAGTTTTTCTGCCTAGAAAGAAAAAACAAGCGATCATTGTTGGTTTGATATTAGTTACTGGTATTTCAAGATAGATAGAAAGACAGATAGTCTAAAAAGCAATAAATAAACAAGAATTTTCAAGGACTATTCTAGGTTTCTTGGTCTTATCCTTCCCTATTGTGAGACACTAAGAATTATAGGAAAAAAATTTCCACTCCACAGAAACCAGGGCAATTTAACCAGCTCTTGGGAAATGAGAAAATAGAATACAAGACTGAAGAAAGGATGTACTTCATAATATGGCCTCCTATGGTTTCAAGGAGACCTTAGGGTACAATGTGGTTTCTCTGACCTATTAGGATGAACATACATGAAAAGGTAAAACCTCAAGATAAAAGTTCAAGTAGCTAAGGATACCAAGAAATGTACAATTGGTGTTTCTTTCCTTAAATTAGCAGAAAATCTAAAATAGATATCCAACTGCCTTCAAATTATCCAGGTATCTACGACAGGTGTCTGTAAATATCTAACTTAAAATGTTTTGAGACACTGTCCCTTTCAGTTAAGAGTCAATTCCTGGGAGCTGGGGTTGTAGTTCAGCAATAGAATGCTTGCCTGGCATGTGTGAGAGGCTCTGGGTTTAATCCTCAACATAAAAATAAATAAAATAATAATAATGTCAACTTCTGGATCTAGTTAACCAAAGATAATAAAATGACTCTAAATAACGTGTGTGTGTGTGTGTGTGTGTGT